AGTTGGTGGGCAACACAGTAAATATCTTCTTCGCATTTTTATTTACCTCATTCAAGAAACAAAACAAATGTACTCTGAATATGAAGTAGAACTAAGTTTAACACATACTCAAGAGCAGCGTGTTTTCTAAATGTATTACAGACATACATACAGCATCTAGATGGGGATTGTTAGTTTTCCTCACACACACTGGTGATACTAGAAGTATTCACATTCAGGAACAGAAAATTTACAATCAGAATGTGAACAGCAGCATGGAGATCTACATCTTCTATATTCCATTTAAATGGAGACAACCACTAGTAAACACGTCTGGTCAACAGATTTTCTGTGAAGATGTTGCATGTGCAGAGTTTGATACTCCTAGAATGGACAACTCAAACCACCAGAAGTCCATGTTTCCTTACAACTCCATACCTGGCTTTCTGAGGGTTGTCACCACATTGCTGAGTAAAATCTCACCTTCACCTCCTGATCATAGGTTCCTAGCTCCATATCAAGCCATTTCACCCCACCACACAACAGACCCCAGAACCTGAGCTTGCGTGCCAACAGACTTCATAATCTGAATTTTTATCAACTTAATGAGCAGTGACATCTTCATAAATGTCAAGTTAGACTTCTTTATAGTCAATGTAAGAAGTATGCAATTAATATGCATATAATAGTTGGCACTAGATACCAAATACAGAAAGTGCAGGCAATAGTCTGTTGCTTTTTTCCTTCCTTTTTTTTTTTTGTGTGTGTGTGGTTCTAATAGGAGTTAGAGGTAACTTCAGTAATTTATAAGTTTCACAAGCCACAGTGTAATCTTAGGCAATTGCTCATGATACAAATACATGGTTTCTTTCATCCTTTTGTAGTTACAACACTCGAATTGTATCAACATCCTGCATTGTGACAGACTTCATTGTTTCAACATGTTTAGTAGGGCAATCTAAACAAACAATTCCACGTTATCCTCAATTATATTTACAGGAGTATGACACAGATAGGGAAGACAACATGGCCCATATTCTTCCTTAATGCTGTCAGATGGTAGCAAAAGATCAGTAAGTGTTTCCTGAAAGTGTTCGGAACCAAACTCCCAGATTTGTTTCTTTTACATGGTCACTTCTCATTTCCCAACGGGAAGGTAACGCCACAATGAGTGATCAACATCCTTATCAATACCCATCAAGATTCACCTACAATAGAAGAAAAATTGTAGTGGACTAAAGGAGTGTAAATGGTACCCCAATGCTAGTACTTTGGCCATAGCCTGAAGACCTGCTGTTTGAGATCTTTTTTTCTCCTTCAAGTGTTCAGAGCTAAGAACACTGATTTCTTGGTTGATAACCTACAGCTTGAGTAGCAGCACTGCTGAGGAATAACATCACACCATCAATAAACTGGGATGCTAAATTAATTACTGCATGTGAAAACAAATTATATTGAAGCTGGAAAAAAAAAAAGTAAATTAAAAATTGGCTCAAGAATAGACAAAGGGTAATCTAGGGCACAGGCCAAGCATTCCCCAAAAGACAGTGTGACAAAAAAAAAGTTTTCAATAGAAGAATAAACAACCCTCTCAGAGAGGGGAAGGTGCTGCTGGGACAAAAAAATAGTAGTGTATATCCTCATGTAATTAGAGCATATCATAGCACACACAGAATAAGTTAAAGCTGCACAGACAGCCTGTGTCTTAACACCTCATAAACATAGAAGTGTTGACTTTGCAACCTTAGGAATGTTTTTAACAATGTGTGTTATTTATGTTATCTGTGGAAGAAGTATATATGATCTCATGCTCAAATATAACCATGATGCTTACAGGCATTTACAAGTGCTGAAGCTTTGTGCAGTATTTTATGTAGCAATTTCAGAGCATTAAGGAATTTGTACATACATTCACATGTATTTCTATGTATGCATGCACAAACATATGTTGGTAGATATGTCTAAACTGACATTTAATAAGAAAACTAGTTGTATCACAAGTTGCAAAGTTGGAGATAAAAGTAATAATCTTCAGAGTTTGATTTATTCTGAATTATATCACTAAAAGTATTCTATCTGCAATATCTAGTTCTCATATACATAAGTTTCAGTTCATTCTTATAGAAACCCGTTCATTTTCTTAAGTGTTTGCTAATCACAATGAAACAAGATTTGACTTTATATCAATCACCTAATTGGCATTTACCTATTCAATTCCCAAACTATTTTTCAAGTGCCAATAACAATGAGCAGGACTAGTGACTTCAGAGTAGCAGGCAAGGTAGTTGAAGGTCAGTGATTTACATTATAGCATGGCTCCACCGCTTAACCAATTATTAAAAATATTTTAATGATTTTATATTACATATAGTTGTATATATTTATATATGTATTATGCATACACACACTATATTGCTCAAGGAAGTCATCCACCAGAATCTTCAGCAAGTCCTGAACATTTTAAAAGAAAGTCTTTCAGAGACTTTTTTCCACAGGTTGACTCCAATGAAAAACAGTATAATTTTAAATACATAAATGGCGCTTTTTAACACTGCGCCACAAATGACTAAGGACGGAGTTTAATTTCAAGAGGTCAGAAGCTACGGCAACCCATATTGATCTGAACAGAGCTGTATTCTGGGATACCTCTTCCACATCTGATAGCTTGCTTGTAGCTATCAGATATACATCTGTGGATGCCAAGAGATTTGTCCATGAGGTCTTTACCAAGCTCATTTTACCTTGACATATCCTTTGTCCCCACTTTCTAAAGAACAGTTTTGCTTTGACAGACTGAGAATTATTAAAAATCGCGGTCATACTGCAAGAAGTTAGAGACCTGTACCAAGAGGCAATATACATGGGCTGTCCTAAATAGTAAGATTCTAGCCATTAACCCAACCCTGAACATTTGATACATTACATACCCTATACTTCAGAAAAAAAGCCACAATAAAAGCTTTCAAGGTAAGCATGCATTACATCTTCAAATGAAAGCTAAGTTATTAAACCTAGAAAGTAATACTTTAGACTAAGTCTGATGTGTAGAGTGCTATGAAACGCACTCACTTTTTTTAATTGACCAAATATCACCTAGCTGTACAATGTTAAAATAGCTTAAAGCACCTTCCATATTATCTAAACCACTACCAAATGCACATTTTATACACTGTCAAGTAGCATCTACCACTTAGTAACTTTGCTAACCATTACAGAGAAGCAGAAGAGCAGACCATACTGAATTAGTGCACAAAAGCCTGTTAACAGATGATGCTACAGTATGATTTGGGTACCATGAAGAGTATTGCTGCAGGTAAAAAAAACTACAGTATATGTTGAATTAGAAGATGCTGCTGTTTAATAATGGCTTCTGAGTGGGAAGATAAGCAAATCAGACCATTTTTTTCTTGTTGGCTGCTAAGGAGGCTAACTTAGCAATTGGGATGCTTGCTGCAGTAAAGGAAGCTGGCATTGTCCCTGCTCTTTGAAGGACTCAGGTATACCATGCTGTACTGGCCACATCACTCATTTTAAAATTGATTAGACAGTATTATGGGCAATTATTAGATGGAAATCTTTTGCATGTTAAAGTGGAAATAAAAAAACAACCTGAACTCTCATTTTGCAGATACTATTAATCAAAGCCATAAATATTTCATAATGGTTTGTTGTGAAAGACCATAGTAAGATCTGGTTTAAATTACAATAGTTGAGAAGTTACATGGACAGATCAAGTCCTCAAGGTTTTCTATTTTCCTATTTATGGAATTGAAAGTAATCTGCTACTACAGTATCATTTTTGATTTATAGTAAAAGAACTGTAGAAATACATTTGAGGATACCACTGATATGAATTTATATTTAAATAACTTCTAGACTATAAAACATAATTCCTCCCGTAATAAAATACTTAAGAAAATCCATTTGTCTAGCTCATCAAATGTGATGTCCTTGCTCTGTATCTTATAGAACAGATATTCATAAGGAGTTATTTCCCATAGGTGAGGTGCAATTTAATGTACCTAAACATCAAAGCTCCTTGTCACTTTGTTATACATTTTTATTACTAATTACCCTAAGCTGCAATAACACTCTACTCCAAAAGAAAATATTTCCTAACAGTATTAATCTTTTATATCATATACTTAAGACCTTTTTTCTAACACAGGGAGAAAGTGTTTTGCTTAACAGTCTTGCTTAAGATTCTCGCAGATGACTCATTAGGAACATGATTAACTGACCCTAAATACTAATGGCAAGACTTACACCAACTTGACAGCAGCTTGGATAATATTTAAGGTGAGACCCATACCTTCAGACTCTAGAATACAGATATACACATCTTCGCTTCTCACCCTATTTTCTTGCTATGGTCAAAAAAAGAAAGGAAAAAAGACTGTAATGGTTCATGTAATCACAGAATAGACATCTCAAATATGGAAGATGACTTATGCCACAGTATGGGCCTGATTTTTTTTTCCCCCCACTGGCCCTACAGGGAGTTTCAAGTAACCAGCTTCATCCTGAAGCCTCAGCAAGTGTAAAAATTCTCTTCTGTGATCTCAAGTACAACAAATTATTTGATTAAAAAACAGATACAAGTAATTTAGAGCTCAGTTCTTTCACTCAGTTAAAAGACTGAAAGTGTCTCCTTTAAGTTCAGTACAAATGCTCTTTGTCTAAACTCTGCTGTAAGTGATGAAGAATATAAATGAGAAGTTCACATTTGAAATTAAAAAACACACCACTGACAAGAGTAACTTAACCTGTGGGCAGAATCTTATTTTCAAATAAAAATACACATTGAAGCACTGTTTTCTGAAAACCTAAGAAATTCTATTTTCCAGAAAAGCTCATGCCTTAATATCTGTTCAGTCAAGTATGGTAACTGTGTTATTGTATAATCTCTGCAGCAAAAAAAAAATTTCATATTCTAATATATAAGTGTCGTATTGTTTATACAGAAATATTACAGATTAAATCAGAGAACTAGTCTCCCCCCAAAAAATAGTTAGAACAAATACCTGCACAAAAATAAACTTGAATTTATTTGAAATATATGTACAGTATTCTAATACATTGCATAGTCACATCATTTAAGGCTGTACTTTGTTTATAATGATGCAGTTAACTCCATCGATTACTTCATTGGTTTCACTAAATAAAAATTAGTGTTTGCAGTTTTTGAATTTGGATAACATGATCTTTCACCTATGAATGACTGACATAAGCATCTTTTTTTTTTTTAAAGTAGATTAGTGGGTATTTTGTTTGTTTTTGTTTCTTTCCCTCCCCCCCCCCCCCCCCCCTTTTTATTTATATATTTATTTTCTGAAGAATTGCTTCATGTTCACAAGCTAGTATGAAGTGGCAGCTTCTGCTCAATTCAGCGATGGTGTTACACCACAAACAAATCCATCAGACTATCTGACAGCATTCATAACAAGCGTAGTCTGTGCTGAGGGGCCCTAGAGTGAATCTGAGGATTGTGTCAGGCCTGGATTAACCTACACTGACAACTGCATGTAGAAAGCTAGTAAACTGTCTGTCTACACCTGGCTCAACCACAGCCAGATTCTTATTTGTGGTGCAAATATTTAGTGCACATGCACTACAATTAATTTTTGTAATTAAAAGCTTATTAACATTAATACTGCTTGTTATAGAATGCAATTTCAAAGAGAATAATACTTTGCCATTTAAATGGTTCAGGAAACATAGTATTCTTATCCACATTACAAAGAAGCAATTAGATGCTTTACCCACCCCAGATTTTCTACTTATAGGTCATTCTTCATTTATGCCAACTTTAATAAATTATTGTACAGAAATACTATTACTCTGAATAACAATAAATTGAAGTATTATGCTTCAGGGAAGAGTTTTCTGTTCTTGATAAATATGCAGCATTATCAACTACAAAGTCATTACATGTTTTATTGTTTTTGAAAGCTACGGATCGAATGCAGTCGCAACATGACAGAAGAAACTGCTGGAAACCTTTCAAAAAGCAAAGGTAGTGTCAGATGCCTTTATCCATCATATAACTGATGAGGTTGGTATTGTAGCCACTGACCCAGTTGCTAAATTAGTCCTTAGAGTAAAATGCATTTATAATCAGTTAAATCCAAGTTCTAGAAGGGAAATTAATTATCATTTGATAAAAAAGGATTGATATTTCATCTCTAATTTCTTGAGCCTACTCTTTTAACGACACTTCTTTTTACATGTATGTTCATGTAAATATTTGCATCCCAGTATGGGATGCAAACACACACACCATAGCAATCCACAAAATGCATTACCTAAAGAACTAGACTGAACTGCTTCCAATTCTCTGATATGAGAAAAGAATCATGACAGTTGAAGGCTTGATCCTTTGAAAGAATCAAACACCCAAAAGCCTCTCCTTTATTGACATGTCTTTTTTGCCCCTATCAAAAGGGCCTGAACCCAAGATGCCAGTTGTTTCATAACTACTCAAAGCTAACTCAGAAGCCTGAGTCTCTCTTTGGAGCTGTGTGGGCCGTGCTGTCCAAGGCACAGCTGCAACTCAGACCCAAGCAAGCCCAGAGCCAGGACATGGCTGGCACACTCTGCAGCTACCACCAGCCTGTTTGCCCAGATCTCCTTTCCTTGTGCCTAGGTTTCCGCATGGATCTGGAAAGCTCCTGGGACACATCTTGACAGAGAGATGAGGAGTGCTGCCAAGTCAGACAGTTTAATTGGAGCACTCAAGTCCTGACCCAGAAGCATACGGCACGCAGCTGTGCTCTGGTTCTGCACAAAGTACAGAGGATGAGGCTAGAGCAGGGGGATTATCTTCTCCTCATCCCAACTACAAGATTGCAAAAAAGGAGGCCAGAGTTCTGGGTTCTGATTTCAGGAGCGTTTCTGATTTTTAATCCAGTAGCTATTTAATAAGACACATAACAAGTTCTGAAAGCCTGCTCCTCAAAGCAAAGCCTTCAGTTTTTAACCAAGATCCCCCTTTGCTAGGCAAAAACTCTTTTGCCTGGTGCTTCTCTCAATCCCACAAATACCGCACTGCTGGCTGGACACTGGCAGTTTCTATAAAATGACCTCTCATTGCTCAGTGGTCAGAGACATCCCCTCACCTATAAGCACCTTGTCTTGAGAAACAAGAACAAGTGCAGGCCCCATAACAGAGATGCAAAACTTTTGCAGATGGACCTAGTCTAAATCTAGGCCCAGCAAAACCTAAAGAATTTCTCATTACGATGTTGACATATTCTTGTCAGGGATCACCGCTATTTCCATTCCTGAATCTGCATCTCTTCTACACAAGCCTAGCCAGCTTATATTTAAAAACCTCCTCATACAGGAAGAGTGCAGAATGAGGCCATCAAACTGACAATGAATGTACAGATGCAGCAGATGTATCTGACAGACTGTTTTTAGAAGGAAAGTCAGCACCATGCTGCAATCACAGTTCAAGTGTTACTAGCTGAATTCACTACAGGGTATACAACAGTTAACTCATTGCTTCTGTGTTTCCTTTGTAAAGTAAGTCCACACCTAATTTGTGCTGTGAGGCTTAAGAGCAGTTTATCTCCCACCCACATACTTTTTTTTGATAGCATTTTGTCACACCCTTCACAGAAGTTGTTCGCATTTGATTTATGTAGGTCCAAACTGCTGGCTTTGTTCATATCACCTGCTTGGGGGAGCATATGAAGTGCTGCATTTAAAAATGAAACAAGCATACATTTTCAGTAGCCGATAAGAACAAAAGCAGACTGGAATTGTTTTCTTCTGCAACATTCTGTAGATATCAAGTGGAATACCCTACTGCACTGAAGAGACTAAAATATTAAATAATCACTGGCTTCTGGCCGGGCCTTGCAGTTATTTCAAGTCAGGAGGAGGAAGTCACCTGATTATGCTGAAAAGATAACTAGCTCCATTTATTCCACTTTTAGGGAGTCAAATATCACCCTGATGTTTTCTTCAGAGTATCAGGAAGAAAGTAATTACAATGCAATTTGATATGCTAAATAATATAGTATGATTAATAATAATTACATAAATACACATTACAGGACATAATATAATATTACACTGTAATCTATTGAGCAGATGGAAAACAATTCGGTAGAAAAGAATCAAAATAGTTTCTATCTTTCCAGACTGGGAATAAATTGTTCTTTCAGTGTACTGTGATCTCAACCCCATTATGTATCCTCTTGCCTTTTTCACACCTTCTCTAGAAAAATATTATGACTGAATTTAAGTAGAAATATAGCTTCAGTTATGACTTGATTCTCCAACTGTGAAACTAATTATGTACTTGTCTTGCATAATAATAGAATTTTAGTTTTGCTCTGAGTTTGTTTCAAATACGAACATTCAAGTTTTCTTTACCTATCAAGGCAGTGCAAACAAAGAAACGACATTTACATCTTGCAAAGAAGCTCCTGCATTTGTGCTGAATTTAACACATGAAACATGGAATTCTCTGTAGAATCCTACAGCCCCAAAAGATAACTCAACTTATAAATGGTCTGAAATAGACTAGCACAATATTGTTGAAAAACAAGATTAATGTTTTTCTCCTTGAAAAGGTGTGTAAAACTTTAGAAGCAAGCCTGTTCCACTGTAATACACAGCTGTACAAGTTTAGGGGTTAGTCTTTCAAGATGCTAATCTTTGTGACATCTCACATGTCTTTAGACCAATGACTTAGTAAGCTGTCAACATATTAGGCAGTTTTCTGTATATTGATCCTAAAACAGAGTAACCCACCTTAGTGGTATCATTCTCTGAAGCAGAAGAACAATCTCAGAAGGTAAGACCCTTTAGCCTGATTTTAGTGCATTCTTTCAGTTATTGGCTACTCCTTCAGCTCATAAGACGTATTCTTCCCAGAAAAATCATGTCCTGATCACACGCTGCTCAACATTCAGCACATTACCAGCTCTACAATTCTGTTTCTATGTCACAAGTGCTGTGTTCAATGATCTTCAGTGGTGTTTGACCCAGTCAGTCCCTTGAAGGCTCTTTGTTTAAATATCCTGTGTGATGAAAGATCCTCACGTAGCACTATTGATACTATCTCTATTAGCCACTTGATGATTCTGTGTCTGAATGTGTTAGAAAGAACCAGTGGCAGAAAAAAAGTGTACTGTAAGGGAATGCATTATCTTCAATACTCAGCTTCTGCACAATTGACCAATGTTTAGGCAACTGAATCCTTTTGTTCATGTACTATATTCAAAGTGTAAGAAAAATCTCATCATTAGAAGGCAGTTATTCAGCTTTGGAACCAGAAAACCACAAGAAACTCTGGCTGTTTGGAGTAGGATACAACTCACCACTGGGTTCCACTTTACCCAACTGGATGTACCCCAAAGCAAAGTGTGATGCTAGATTCCTGAAAAGCACGTTGGAGAAGTTTGCACAAGTCTTAGGAAGTAGCTGTTCCAAAAATACCATGAGCCACACACCCCACACAAGAGATGTGCACATGGCAAGTCAAGTGCTGTGGTGAGTGGAAGTTGTCAACGCATTACTAGAAGCCTTACTCTGAGAACCATCTTGATCTGCTTGCCAAGCCCGTCCTTTCTGGATAGGAGGAGAGCACTCATGCAGCAGACTGCAGGAACATATGCTGAAGCCATTTGAAAGTTCAAATTAACAATTTTCCAGCCACAGCAGGTCTAAAAAAAGAAAAAACACATACAAAAACCTACATCATTGGAAATGCTGTACTTCATGTTTTATTGCAGACCACAAATTAACATCACCACTTCTGAATGCTTACCTACAGGTAAAGCCTCTCCCTGCAAGAGTAGGCCAATTATTCCAAAAGGGGGGTTGCTCAGACTATATATAAAGAAATGCACAGAAACAACATTTTTACCATGTTTGATATTATGCTTTAAGGCTCTTCTAAGTACTTTGGAAGTGCTACAAATGAGTTTCTACCGTGTATCTACTTATGGAAAAAATACATAGCTGTGGTAGAAGAACATGGAAAGTAATAGCAATTTATCCCTAATGACAAAAATGGGGTATAACCTGTCTAAAAATTGATTCACTGTAATGAACTTCAACAAAAAAGCCTCACAGCAGAAATGTGATGTGAATTCAAAGTGAATTCACAATAAAGTCCTAAACAGAACATTGTATACATAGTCACATTTCCTTCAAACCCTGCATGATTCACACAAGGCATTTTAGGGCACTGAATAATCAGTATAAAGGAAGACATTTTAAATTGAGGTAAAAGAACGAACCATAACACAAAGCTCTCTCTCCCCCCTTCCACTAAGGCCACCACCCCGTGCTGAAAGCAGCTCCCAAAAGTAAAATAAAACATGTTTAGACTCAAAGCCTCCAGTATATCAGAACTTCTTAAACCCATTTGGTAAGGTTCAAAGCACAGGTCAGCTGACAGTCCTCCCTGCTAAATTCAGAATAAAGAGACCCATTAAATAAGACAAAAGACAGCTCCAAGACTTAGTTCCAACACACATCATTTTGAGTACACATTGTTCCCTAAGCCTAATTGCCTGAAAAAACAGCAATGATGTGTTGAGATAGCCACTGTACACTCACACAGGCAGCCTCAGGATCCTGACCACCTCCAAGCACTGCTGAAGGGAGACAAGAACCAGCATGGTCAGTAATCAATCCTTCAGGTTGGCAGGATTTCCTACTGCAGTAGCAGGGAGTGTTAAAAAGACTTTCTGCACTAATAACCTACCTCTGGGCACACAAGACAAATTTTTTAACAGCTGGATGATAGCATGATAAGTCAAGCTGTATAATTTATTAAAGGTAAGTAATGCAAATGGAAAGCTCTGAGGGAATATGAGCTCACCACAGTTACCTTGGGGAGTTTGGCAATAGAAATTTATTTCTGCAAGCTTTTCAGAGAGAATTAAGTTTTCCCTTTTATAATCTGATGCGGTGGTTAAGACAGGTTTTGCATAGGCCCTTGGTTGCTTAAAGCCACCCTGTTTAAGAGCTGGTTACAAGCAAAATAAATGTATAACTCAGGGATCCAAGAAGATAAGATACTAATTCAACCTGCACTTGCAAAACTCCCTAAGCCAGGTCCATAACATTACCAGTACCATAGGACCTACTCACCTGGAAAAGGCAATACTAATAAGAGATGGACAAAAAAAAGGAGAATCAAAACAAAATGTGGCATAAACAAACATGATGCGCTAAAAGTGTCATTGCCACGCCACTCTAACCAGTATCAGCATTTGAAACCAATGAATGCTGCATAGCATTACATATGATCAGATTCACACTGTTTTTTGTACACTTATATATGGAATCAAGCTTTGTGGACCACTCGCAAGTCATTTCTTCTCTCACTGCTATAGGCCTCCACCTACTACAAAGATGGCCTCATCCAGATATAGCTTCAGCAGTAACTTCCATGCAATACAAGCCTGCAACATGCAGTGAGGGTAACACTATAAAATAAGAAATCTTCAGTTGATTTTAATTCTTGAGCATTATTTCTTAAAGTTAGCGTTCACTACCTGAAGTGCTACAAACTAGCCAAGTTACTTTCACTTAATACAAAAAGAAAAATCAAGAAGGTTAAAATCCTAGTCACATAACCTAAGCTAAATTTTTGTCTTTTTTTTTTTTTGTCTCTTTTGAGCTATGAAACATTTTTGTACTATTATTCAAAGCAGTATGTAGAACATTGCATTGAGATTTTTAACAGAAGGAAGGTAGGGTACTCTCTGCCTGTGTTCATTTTTATTATTTTTTTTAATTCTCATTGTCCTTTGCATCATTAAATCTCCAAATGAAGGAAATAGAGTCTTTTTTGAAGGTCTTTCAATGACAGCAGTAAAAACTGAGGGTGCTCAGAGCCACAATGACCCTGGCCTTACGTTCGCATATCCCATAGACAATATGAACTTCAGAACAGCTGTAGGTAGCTGCCCCCTGCACATGGATGGACATTTACTTTGCAACCCACTGCAATTGCAGCAGTTACCTTTTCTTAAGTTTAGAACTGAATTCTGGGTCACCTACAAATGTATTATCTCTACGGCAACTGGTAAGACACTTTTTAACTCAATTTTGAGAATTGGGAAATGTCATGGTATAACCCAGTTACAAGACTAGAAGGTAAAAAAGTAAAGACCAAGTTGATTACATTTCAGTGTTCATTTTAACATATGAGGTCAACACATCATTTGTATGAAATAGATAGGTCTCAAAGGTAACAGTAGATGATTTCATTCAGTATTTCTATGCCAACGTAGAAAAATCTTTCCATTACTTCAAGCATCTGAAACCATAGCACTGGCCCTATATAGACTTCCCTCATATAATCAGGTAACTCTGAACTAACTGAAATAGTACTGGAATAGTTTAAACTACAGAAAATATTCTGCAATTTACATTTACCATACCTACAAGCCAAAGCCTGCCTATCCTACACTGCATAATTTAAATGCTTCGTATTAAAGCAATACAGTTATGATGCATATTTTTCTTACAAAGATTATTTAAAATACTATTAAACTATCTACCGTGACTATAAAATAATTGCACCCAAAACTAGAAGCTTAGATTTTTTAATACACATGGATGGAAGATTTAGAAATTGTATGTGCTTTTCTGTGTTTGTTTCTTTAATAACAAATGCTAATGTAATTGAGCAATTTAAGGAGGGTCTCAACAACCAAATGCAATACAGAGAAGAGACTTAAATCAACAGGAAAAAAGCAACTGTGTGCTAAACGGAAAGTCCCTTATCTATTCTTACTGTTCTGTATGCTTGAAGTATTTAATTATGTGTTTATTTATCCAATAGGTGGTATTGGAGCCACAGATTTTAAAGTAGTCACTGCTTTCCTCAGTCTTTAGTTGCAATTAAAGAAAACCATCAAGGAGCTCTATGCCACGTCACTGAGTAAATTCAGACACTTGAACAGTACCTTAAAAATCAGTATGTTGTGTAAATCTCGCTGCTCTAAAACCAAGTATGGGGGATAACTCACAGGACTGAACAGAAAATCGCATCTTTCATCACCAAGTTGTCAGTCTGAGACTGAGATATCAGTGACTAAGTTGCTACTCTGCTGAAAATTATATTACTTGGTGCCATTTGTCCAGTTCCTATTGTGCAAATGCTCCTGTAGCAGAACTGCCCACAGCAAATGGCATTTGATTTTTTTTTTTTTTTTAAAAAAGCCTAGCACAAAGGTTGAAAAGCCACAAACATTTCTGCCGTCTCACTGTAAAGACTGCTCTTCTCTTGTCAGGATTAGATTGTAATTCTGAATATGGAAAATTACAGTAACTCCCCATGGACTACCTGCTCTCTGAATGTCATAGAGCTGTAATGAACTTCCAGGGTTCTCAAACTGCTCTATATGAGAGCCAAACTCATTATATTCAAAGTATTTTACTCAAATGGTATTTTTATGTCAAAAGATTTTTTTAAAATCAATAATCATCACAAAGCAAGATTTCATACTTTTAGTAGTGAAATTAAGATAGTGCTCCTTTACTGTGCCTTGCTTCATTTCAAAGAGTCACTTTTACCTGCATTTTTAAACATCAATAACTAAAACAGTGTTTATTTGTTAGCTACTGGTTTTGTTCATGCTGTACCTTATTTTTCTCTATTTAATAATGAAGCTGTCGCAAACAAAGACTACCACGTGCCCCAAGTTTTGAAGCAATACATTTGTTTCCCCAATTAGGAACAGGCAATTACTTAACCTGCTATATTAGAGATTATTTTTTTTTTTAAACCTCAGGCTTACTTGCTGAAAAATGAATTAACTTGCTAGTGTTTATCCTCAGCCTTTCTTCAAATATACCATCATGTTGATTTCTACACCTACTAGCAGGAAATTATTTTATGCAACTTCAATTATACATTACAGGTGGGCACAGAGGATTAAACTGATTGTTTGGTGGGCAGTACTCCCAGTGTGTTAAATTAAAAGATAATATGAAATATGAGGCCTTTTCTAGCTCATTCAAAAAAGCAAACTTGAAAAATGTACACTGCATTTTTTATTGGTTGAGGGCAAACCACTTTTTTTTTAATACAGGTTTTTGATGCATGGCCTAACACAGGCCTCAGCAAAAAGATAGCAAATCTTAGAATTTATTATTGTCAATAGTCTGCATGACCTTTACTTTAACTGCATCTTGGCTGTCAGTAATAATCCAAGGCTGCACTTTCAATGATAGAATGAGAGATTTTGCATATTGAGTCTCCAGGTCTCCTTGAAAACGTTCGGAAATCACAGTCATTTATTCCTATTGGCAGGGCAAGGTCCATTATGAAAGCTCATTCGTCTTTACTTGAAGATGAAGAGTGGAGAAACTCCATTTTTTGCTCTGAATCAAGTACTAACTACAGCAGTTTTCTCAAATAAATCAACAAGGAGGCTTCTAGGTCCAGGGTCTGAAATCTTTTCTCATTCAGGGCACCCGTTCTCTAACAGTTCCCTTCACCTTTGTATGGTACAATTTTTGTAGTAGATAAAACAGCACTTCAACACAGACCTGTAGATTTTACATTCTAACCTTTCTTCATTTGGGGTTTGTTTTACCTGACAGGTTAGAGAGTTTGCAAGTTCAGAAAATCTAGCAAGGACAGGATTGCAAGGGCAATAGCAGTAAATAATAGGCTTGCAGAACTGGCCTGCTCTCCCTTGAGAGAAGTTTTTAAAGCCAAAATTACTTAAGCTGTGTAAGACATATTATGTGTAGTTGTGTAATAAAATATACTAAAAATCTGTCTCCACTAGGTACAGATCACCCCCAGGTAGTTCTTTGTACCAGGCTGACTGGAAGAGAATGAGAGCCAACCTGCAAGTCAGAGAGATGCACTGGCATGACATTTACACCCAAGCCATGTTCCCACTGTGCACGCAGTCCTATGCAACGAGCAAGAAAATACTATGCATTTTTTAAAGGAGATACTGTTGGACAAAAAAAAAAAAAAAAAGAACACAATTGTCCTACAAGTCTGCAATAAAATCTGTATTTGAATCTCACTTCTTCATTCTCCCCACGTTTTATATTCCTGACATCACATAGTATGCTATTCCTGAACCACAGATGAGCTTTCTTCAGATCCAAGGAGAGAAAAGTTAGGCCAGAGAAAGGAAGAAATAATTCACCCTCAGAGACAAATGGTAGCATCCTAAGAAGAACAACTAGGTCTTAAGTTCTTGCAAAGGCAGATCACTATTTTCCTGCAGAGTGACTTACTGAAGCTCACAGAGATCTGCAGAAACTCAACAATCTGTAACACATGGCAAATTGGGAGATTCAGGCCTAAGCTTGAATTCATTGTTCCACTAGGAAAACACACCCCTATTTCTCCTCCTTTTAATCTGATTTATGGCAATTCATCACAAGAGAAATTCCAAAGAAAACATCATGCACAGGAAGCTCGAGTTGTCTAGGTCTATCACTACCATTTCTAGTGAGGCTGGGCAACCTTTTTTCCAAAAAAAAAAAAAAAGTTTAGTCACTGAAAACTGTAGTTTCTGGTCAAGTGATACTATGCACAAATTCATTTCGCTCATCGCTCCAATGAATGTGTATTCAACTATATGAAATGGAACGCTGTCAACAGGAGACAGACAGCAAGTCCTGTAAGACACAGTAAATACTCTTCTTAGCTCTCTGGTTAAAATGCAAGACCCCCATGAGGTATCTATTTAGCTTACCATTCTGAGCCTGGATACAGAATCTGCAGGTTCATATTCAGCTAATTTCATGCATCAATAACATTCTGAATATCCCATAAGCAGGAAGACAAAGACAGTAACAGACCTCACATCCTACTATCTTTAAATTGGGCTGTGACTAGGACAGCTGGACTCCTTAAAACCACCTTTTTCTTCACGGCCAAAATTTTTTGGGCACCTAGTTCACCTCATAGGGCCGGGATTTGCTACTACAGCAAGTAAGAGCTAAAATCTTTCATGCCATACCTATTGTGCTCTCTAGTGGCCTCAAAACTTCTTTGGGAAGAGAGTAAGAAAGATTGTATGTTATTCTTCCCAGACAGTGTTAACTGCTGGCAGAATTCCTTCTGTAATTCCACACTTTCCTCCTCCTTGGAATTTCAAAAAAATTTTTGCCAAATCAGTTTCATCATGTGTTCTTACATAAGTCTCGGCATCAGACATGCAGCTACAGCATTCAGCATATGGACTGTGGGCTAAGAAACCAGCCAACTTCCATAGCATACCTTCAATTTCCTTAAAGGCATCACCACATATCCTTCAACTAGCCTCCTGTACTCTAATTTATAACTCTTATGTCTTCTGACTACATACAAAATGTACATACTAAACACATACACAAGAGTTGGAGAAACTGGAAGAGGGATTAATAGAAGTGACAGGTTTAAACTCCCTAACAACATCCATCTTTGACATGAAGTCTCCAGTTCCTATGATTATTGACAGAAGCTCAGAAATAAAATCAAAAAATAAAAGAGGTCCTGGGTCATGCCAAAGTCTAACTCCCTTTAACCTTTCATTAGGGAAATCAGACCAACTCTGTGATGCTGGGAACTCCAAGAGCATCACTTCAGCATAGCACCTGCATGTAAAATTGACCAAAATTGTGTCAGACGTTCTCTCTTAAGAATCACACTAATGCAGAATCAGCCAACAAAGAACAGGTAGTTTACAGAGCAAAAATTCTTTTTCTTCTAAGCCTTTTTCCCCACAACCTAAATGATGGAATGTATTCATTCTAAAACAGAACATCTTCCTACTCTCCGTATAGAACAATTTTGCTAACAACAATGCAAGGTTACACGAGAAGATATGGTTAGAATGTAAAATTATTTTGTCAGTGACTGATAACATTCAGACATTCACTGAAATGCACCCCCCACACACCCCACCCCCCTCAAGCCCAGGTAGTGGTAGGTTGTTTCTTTCTCCACTCCCCTCCCACTCCCAGTAAGGGGAAAGAGCACTGTGATACAGTATTTGCTGGGAATAAATACATTTTTTTTTCTTGCCATTTCCACAGAGCATTTCAGCATTCTACCAGAAATCCCCAAAACAAACATATGCATGTTGATAGACTTACTCCAGCTTCATCCATTTTGTGTTTAAATATACTGCATGTCCCTAGTGCTTCCAGTCACAAGCTACATTCACTTTAAAAGCATAATCAAGAATTTTAGCCAGAGAAGTAACCAGAGAAGTGCAATAATGAATCAGTAACCCATTTCACAATCATAACAATGAAAGAGGTGTCCCAACTGCAATTGCTAGTCATTGGTTGCAAACTATATGCTTAACTCCCTTAGTATTGGCTACTTCTTAATGGTTTCATTGCTAAATTACATTAGAGAACAGCAAAAATGCATTAAGATTTTACCTTACACTCCCTTGTGAGCAATTGTTTTACTTGCTAAAGAATGTTGAGAGATGAGTGGGAGGAAAGATGGTCTATGCATCAAGTTTTCAGAAAACTTGAACAGAGTAATGGTATTGCTGGAATTTGCATCTATTGTAGTAGAGTACAGCTACCTATTGGTAGCAGTTTAAGATGTCAGAGGTGAACTTAATTAAACAGATTAAAATGAAATTATCTCTGAGATAACAAGTCTCGAAGTGTAACCAGTCAATGAACTGAAAAAAAAAAAAAAGAAAGAAAGAAATTAATGTTTACCTGATGGTTTTGTTGTTTGTTTGCTTTAATCTCAACAACTAGCAAGATTTTCTAGTGAGATTATATTATTTCAGTATGATTTCATCCTGGGTTTACTTAAGGATCTTAACATGTTTTCTGTAAATGGTTTAAGAATGTCAGGACAGTTGAAAGGAAAGTGTGAGCTCTAGAGTTCTGGGGCCCTAGCCTGCCCAGCAAGACCTTTCTCATCACCTCCTGCAGATAGGAGATTGGGTCTTAAGATGTAGTTAAAAATTAAATTTAAAAGCTAAATCTGGTTTCGGGAGATGGAACATGCTAATTGTTAATGATTGTGAAAAAGGAAAAGTTTTCCCTTGCAAGCTGTGGCAGGAATATCCACCAAAATTCTCATCTAGCAGAATTTCATGTCCAAGACACCAAAAAGCAGAGACCAAGAGAGGAACAGAACACTGAAGACAAAGACTTTAAGTATTCAGGAGCAGAAAAAAATAATATATAGCTTTTTTTTCCCCCCTCCAAATAGTAAGGATTACTAGTTGTAGCTCTGTGAATAACTATTTCTTAATTAAGAATTTAAGGCCAAAAACAAAACCCCGGCACACACATCTGAGTTAACTTGAGAGCAACATGCTTTCACACATTGTTTATAATGAAAGCATGGAACAAGTTCAGGAGGAATGCATGTCTGTGGCTGCAAACTCTACCTCCACAAAGTATTAAAAAGCCTCAAAAACCCCAGCACACCGCCACAACCAGCCTGTGAGGCTTGATACAAGGGGGCAGCCCCAAAAGACAGCCCCACAACCAGCCCTCCCCATTTTGCCTCCCAGGAGAGCCCCACACACCAAGTACTTACCAGGGACACAGGCTCAGCAAGGCAGCAGCACAAGCCAGGCAATGAGCTCATCCCCACAGCAGGATAGCACAACAACACAGAAAGAAGCTTCTAGGCACAGAATTGCGAAAACAGGGGTGATCCAAGGTCCACCAAGATATAGACACCTTAGAGACAAGGGCATAAGGCCTAACCCTGGGCTGAGATAAAATGGTGGCTGGGAGAGGGCCCAGGTGAGGCCAAGCAGTGTTGTTAGAGGCTGTTAAGGGCTGTCAGCACCCCCAGCACCTTATTTAAATTTAAATTTAAGAATTGGTTATTGTAGTAGAGACTCACAGCTGAAACTGATTTGAATGAGCCCAAATGGAGGTGCTCAGCATTTTTTTCGTCAGTGGTTTCTCTGTTGTGGTTGCTATCCATTAGTGCTATCAGATAGACTGCACAGGCAACTTCATGTTTGTTTGTTTATTTATTTATTTGTTTATTTATTTATTTATTTGGGGGGGGGGCCTGTAATATTGGCAAAAGCTGTTATGTGAAACAAATTGAATCATTTTCTGTCTGTGTTAACCTAATCATCACTCTAATCAATGTTAGAACAACAGATCATTGGCTACAGGAGTGCAGCTGAAGTATTGCCTGATTTTGGGTCTTGCAAGTTTGGCACAAAAAATTCAGAAGGAAAGGTACATGTGCAATAGATTCAACTAAAAAGTAGATGTGTAAGTATTTCTGCAACATAACTTAAAAGCATGACTTTTTTAAATAAAAAAGGAGAAAAGACTTCACAAAGCGTGCATTTATTTCTGCGATTTCAGCCACTTCTGAATTTTTCTTATCTTAATTCCTTAAAAGAAAGAAGTCAGACAACTAAAATTTACAGACTGTACTAATCCTTAGAGTACAGACCCACTCTTCTGAAAGCCATAAATACAGAGTTAAAGAACCACAGGAAATTAGTTCTCTGAGTTATGTTAATTGCTCCCAACACTCCACTATCTATCTACACAAAAAAGGAATACAATTTGAAGAAGACATCATAACATATCATGGTTAAAAAAAAACTGTATGCCATAAGGAAAAAAAAAAAAAAAGTTTTGTCGTATGAATTAAAAGAGGTTTGAACCATTGGGGGGAGGGGATTACATCTGAAACATGGGCAAAAAGAAGCATAATTGATCCAAGTAGTCTTATTTGTCACTTTAAGTCTTCCTCTAGCAGCAACAGTAGTACAAGAGGGAAGCCTATGAAAAGCTCCTACAGAAACAGGGAGAAAGTAAACAACACACTGTAATTACAGTTTTACATTCTAAAGATTTAGGAAAATGTCATAAAAAGGCAGCCTCAAACAATATGAAGATAGAAAAGCAGCTCACAATGACCTTAGAAGAAAGGCATATAACTGTATTAAAACATTTTAAGTCTCATAGAGTGACCAATAATATATGCAAGAGCACTGTGAAAATTTAAACCATAAGAAATCTCTTTTATGTTAAAGGCTCAGTTTTGTCAAAGTAACTGCTTATCTCATGGAAAAGAAAAAATGTCATTAATGTACTGTTCCACTTGACAACACATAATGTTAAAGTTTGAATACTGGCCTTGTACAAGCTGTATCTCAAGTACTTTCTGATTTATGATGTACAGTTTGTGTTGATGCACTGCTAGCCGATTTGAAGTTTTCACTGCTCAGAAAAAGGTAAGCATCAGTTAACTCAGTCAATGCGAACTCTGCCCTTCCTTGCCTCCATTTGAAATTTTACACTCTGTAGATGTATCTTCCCTTCAGTGTATGTGTACTCATGAATGTGTCTGAATGTGGAAATCATCACAATGGAAAACGATGGTATAGGATTTGGTTCCTAGGTACAATGGGACAATGTGTAACCAGTTAGATATGTGTATTGATTTACAAATAACTCTTTTTAAGAGGTAATCATAATACAATATTTCCAAAGAAAGAAGCAGATGAATTTCCTGAACTTCCTATACACATTTTTAAAAGAACTATGTAAATCTAGTACTTGAAAATACATAAAGAATTGACTTTATATCACTGATATATTACCTATTTTATTATAACAATCTTCTTCTGATAGAGAAAGAAAGAAAGAAAGAAAGAAAGAAAGAAAGAAAGAAAGAAAGGAAGGAAGGAAGGAAGGAAGGAAGGAAGGAAGGAAGGAAGGAAGGAAGGAAGGAAGGAAGGAAGGAAGGAAGGAAGGAAGGAAGGAAGGAAGGAAGGAAGGAAGGAAGGAAGGAAGGAAGGAAGGAAGGAAGGAAGGAAGGAAGGAAGGAAGGAAGGAAGGAAGGAAGGAAGGAAGGAGGAAGGAAGGAGGGAAGGAAGGAAGGAAGGAGGGAAGGAAGGAAGAAAAAGAAAGAAAAGAACGAACGAACAAGCTTTTTTTTTTTTTTTTATATCAAAAAGAATGAGTATGGAGATTTGGTCCATATACATTCAAGGTTAATTTGAAAACTACCCACTGTGAATTCTCTTAGACAAATAGAAACCATAGTTTCCATATAGAAACTTTTCGAACTTTTAGCTTTTTAAAAATTTCTTTCAACTCATCAAGACTACAGGACCTGCACAGGTCAGCCAACTTGAATATAACCAGGTGGCTATGGTAATGTCAGAAATTTATCTCAATTACATTGCATAAAATAAATGATAGTTAGGAATGGAAAAGTGTACAGTCCTGCAGAGTAGAGCTAAATCCAAATCTCTACACTAGTTTCAGGTTGGTATAGCTATGATGAATAGAAGACAGTCTGGTGTGTCAGGATTTTCTATATAATTGATAATATTAAGATATATTTCCTCATGGCTGGCTACATTGGAACATTCACCTTTAAAAGAAAAATAACGTGTCTTTCATTTGCATATTCCTTAATCCTAAAATTACAATTACTTAATGGAATTTCAGTAGTACTTTGTATTTGCTATTTGCTATAAAAAAGCATTTATGATATAGGAAAATACACAAAGGCCTCACAAGTTTTTTGTTTGTTTGTTTTTCCCTACCAGAAAATAAAACTTATTTTTTTATATATATATTTTTTTCTTCTTACCATTTTGAAACTTACTGCCCTGACTAATTGGCAACATAACCATAATCACATGCCACCATGCTCCAGTGGGGTTGGTCAATGGCAGTACTCATTTCTGATATTAGCCTAAAATTTGGTGGCATTTTCTGCCAGAATAACTACAGTCATTCCAGCTGAGCTTCACAAAACTTGTAGAGATTACTTCCTGGAATAATACCTAAAAGAAGCATGACCTAAATCAAAAGATCTGCCTGTATACACTGTAGGCTGAAATACATTCAGTCTGGTGTACAACCTTTTGTGCTCTGTTGCCTGCATTGTCAGTGATATGTTCTTAGTTGTCATTCTTAGTTTGGTACTTGTTTCTTTTTTTTCTCTGATGATTTTCTCAGTGCAGGGGTTTTTGTTTTTTTTTTGTTTTGTTTTGTTTTGTTTGTGAAACCAGTCTTTTGTTGCTAACTTGTTCTTGTGTAAGTTTGGTTAAATATTTAATAATTTAAATATAGCATGTTAATAATTATTTTTCAGTTCTGAATTGGAACAAGTGCATCTGAATGCATTATTCAAGAACAGCATCTGATCTTATTTAATATCATGTAACGCTTTGCTTGTTCTTTCTTTTTTTTCATGTAGACACAATTTAGCATGCTTGCCAAATGTGTAAAGTACCTTTTCTCCCAAACAAGCTGTTCAGAAATGTTATTAGCCTAAATATCATGTCCTGATTTTTTTTTAAGCATGTCTCTTCTGAGTCAATCATCATTTTTCTGTGCATCAGTTATACTAAGCAATTTCAGAAATGGCTGTGCAATAAGACATACCACAGTATGATAAAGAAAAAGTTAATCTACTAAGAAAGTTAGTGACCTTTTTTTTCCCCGATTTCTAAGCTGCTCACTGAGACTGTGTTTGAATCCCTCAAATATCTCTAGGGTCAGAGAACCAAATGTTTTCAGGTAGTTGGATGCCTAGGGATTTATGGTTGTGTGATTTTCTAAGAATATTTAGGCATTTAGAGCAACTCCAGTGACAATCAGCAAGTATCACACAATTAGGTCCTCTTGAAAATTCCACAAGGTGCCTCTTCACTGCTGTGATCATTACATTTCTTAATTTGTCTTTTACAAGTTTTTGACCTGGCAATAAGCTCATACTAGCACACCAGCACAGATCTGAGCATCCCTGAGAAGTGTTATGGTAGATGGGTTTGCCTGAGTGGGCATGTCCTCCATTCTGATCATAGCCAACATCTCTACTAGTGATAATATAAGCTTTCTGTGTACAGAATATACACAATGAATTGCCTTTTATTCTCTATCTCCAGCTTCTCAGTGCTGGCTTTGCCCCTTTATTTTAAAATTCACTCTTTTCTGTCTCACTGAGAGTCTTTTTTTTTCATTCAGTGAATACTTACTGCTTCTCCCTTTAGTCATCTCTGGAGTTGTTTATTTTCCCCAGCAATAATTTTTGATGCATACCTCGCTTTGGGATGCATATGCATGTTTGTATAAGATGCCAATCTCCTTAGGGTGTACTGTCTTATTTTGGCTCCATAAAAATGTTTTTTTTTTTTTTTTCTTTTTTTCTTCAGAATACCTCATGGATATATAAATATGGCTAGCAATACAATGCTGAAATCCAATATTAAGAATACTATGCTCTGGTAGCATTCGGGTAACATTTATAAGCAGTTCTAAGTATCATCAAAGGATCACTCTTGTGAAGAGAAACTACTATGTCAAAAGCTTCTGTAACTACACAGAATATCCTTCCTTCCCTGACCTTTTGTCTCAGGCTGAGTCTCTCTGGCAAATTTAAAGCCTACTGTAAATGCAGATCATTTGTTTTCTCTTTGTAGGGACGTGAGCTGTATGTTTGACTGTGAGGCTAAATGCTGGCCTGCACAAATTGTTCAAATAAAAAAAGCTAGGCCTCAATATCATGAGCCTGGAACATCTGTGGCCATGTCCGAAGCTAATTTTTGTAATTACTCTAAATAGCAGGCAGGATGTGCAGCCAGTAACCTTCCTCACCATATCATAATGTTTTATAGACAATTTTATTTGCTGTGTGTTATTCTTTCCTCTCCGTTGATACTAATTTGGATTGGCTGCAGGATGTGACATATGAACAAGTGTGCAAAGTAGAGTACACAGTATGTAAATCTGCTTATAAAACCCTGCGATAGAAAAAGACATAGAAGTTAACCTTTTGTTCGGGAAATAACCTGT